CTTCCTCACCTTCTCCCCTTCTCTGTTCTGTAAAAGAAACTGGCATCCAAACCCTGATAATATGATTTTGGGGGGACCATAGTCCGCCATCTTCTTGGTCTTCTGGCTTTCCAAATAATGTCTCTATTCTTTACCTCAAAACCTCGCCTCCCGATTTATTGGCAGATCCTATGGTGAGCAGAGTGAGCTTGGATTTGGTAAACATTTGTTATAGCAGGAATAGAAAGCTAATACAGAGCCCTACTGCTCAGCAGCTACAAGAAGAAGGCTGATGAAGAAAGCTGCTCTGTGAGCAGTCTAAGAGGCAAAGGGTTAAGGATGGGAGCTTGAATCAGATGATGCACATTTAAAGGAGGATGCTGCCAATTTCGGCTGTTAACAAATTCCATTTCTGGAATTGTTTCTGCCTCATCTCTGCAGGATCAGGGTTAGAAAGTTCCAGCAGGGAGCTCCACAGTCATTGCTAGCCTCAGGGAGGTACTGTTCCCCTGGGAAGAATTCCTTCCTTTGATCTGACAGTCTCTGCTAGATAGCGCAGAGCCACCAGGCTGCTACTGTCAAGGAAGGCAAGGAGGTGTGACACATGTAGTCACCCTCCAAACAGCAGGAGATTGGAATTTGCCCTTGTTACTGAGCATATTAGAAGTCCATTCACTTTTCAGCTTCATTCTACTGTAAAGTGACCACACAAACACCCTTATATACACAGGGGGAAAGAGAGAGAGGGAGATGAAAACTGGGAGAGAGAAAGGGAAAAAGAAAAGAAAGGATCAACCTTCCCTTTGTGAAATGAAAAATATCTCCTGCCATATCAATAAACAAGAAATGTCAGAGCCATCAGCGATTTCTGGACTCAATAAGTGAATCAGTTCAGTTCAGCCACTCACTCATGTCCTGCTCTTTGCGACCTCATGGACTGCAGCAGGCCAGGTTTCCCTGTCCATCACCAACTCCCAGAGCTTGCTCAAACTCATGTCCATTGAGTCAGTGATGCCATGCAGCCATCTCATCCTCTGCCATCCCCTTCTCTTCCTGGCTTCAATCTTTCCCAGCACCAGGGTCCTTTTAAATGAGTCTGTTCTTTGAATCAGGTGGTCAAAGTACTGGAGCTTCAGCTTCAGCGTCAGTCCTTCCAATGAATATTCAGGACCGATTTCCTTTAGGATGGACTGGTTGGATATCTTTGCTGTCCAAGGGTGTTGGTTGTGTTGGAGAAGGCTCTTGAGAGTCCCTTGGACTGCAAGGAGATCCAAACAATCTATCCTAAAAGAGATCAATCCTGAATACTCACTGGAAGGACTGATGTTGAAACTGAAACTCCAATACTTTGGCCACCTGATGCAAAGAACTGACTCATTTGAAAAGACCCTGATGCTGGGAAAGATTGAAGGCAGGAGGAGGAGGGGATGACAGAGGATGAGATGGCTGGATGGCATCACTGACTCAGTGGACGTGAGTTTGAGTAAACTCTGGGAGTTGGTGATGGACAGGGAAGCCTGGTATGTTTGCAGTCCATGGGGCCGAAAAGGGTCGGACACAAGTGAGCGAATGAACTGAACTGAACTGAAAATTGAATACTGTAATACCAATTAAAAGAAAACTCAAGTAAGATCATGTATAAAATAAAGAACTAATGAAAACATGCTCTATAGCACAGGGAACTCTACTTAATGCACTGTGGTGACCTGAATGTGGAGGAAGTCCAAAAGGAGGGGATGTATGTATATATATGGCTGATTCACTTTGCTGCACAGAAGAAAGTAACACAACATTTTAAAGAAACTATACTCCAATAAAAAATTTATTTAAAAAAGAAAACTCTATACAAATATCTCTCACTAGGTTTTTGAAGGTTAACCATATAGTATAGGAAAATATACAAGATAGAGTGACTTCCTTAGAATCGAAATAGCTCAAGCAGAAGTCAAATAGGATTTAAAGGGTGGTGAAAATTCTGTAGTCTGTTTCTATACGCAAAATCATCCAGAGGTTAAAAAAAAAAAATGCTGTGTATTTAAAGGGACAAATGTGTTCTACTTGCAGGGATTTTAAACATATTTCCTCAGTTGGGTAGAGGCAAGCATGATTATTATTGTCAGGAGATTGTCAGTCAGGAGGAGGATGAGAGATGCAGCAGAGTTTACTAAGCAGAGCCTCAGAGAGGAGGCTGAGAGCAATTACTGAAGAGGCTCAGGGAAAGACAGAAAGAGATGGACAGTGCTGAGTAAAAGGTGTTACATTGAAGTGCAAAAGATGGAGGGGCCATTTCGGAGCTCCTGGACATCTCGAGGATTCTGCTTTCTTCTCACTCCCTTTGTTAGGGACACAGGAGCCTGGCCCATACTGGGAGACCCCAAAACTCTTGAATGTGTTGGCCTTGGGAAGGAGCAAACAGAAGGAAGTTCTGAGAAGGAAGGGTGAGGAGGTATAGGAACTGGTTCCTAGTACAAGGATATGGGGGACTCAGGTCAACAGCATCACTTCAGTGTCCTGCTTGATGATGAGAAAGAAGAAACCAAAGCAGCTTCACAGTCAATAGGACAGGGATGGGGGAAGGAGCATGTATCTGAGAGTGAATTAGCTCATGACTCGGTAGGAATATAGAAGCAGCTGCCTCCTAAATATTGGGTTAATCTAACATAGGAAGTGCTTGGGATAAACTGTAAATCTTTGAGTTGTAATTATCCACCCCTATGGTGTTGAATGGAGAAGGAAATGGCAACCCACTCCAGTACTCTTGCCTGGAAAATCCCATGGATGGAGGAGCCTGGTAGGCTACAGTCCATGGGGTTGCAAAGAGTCGGACACGACTGAGCAACTTCACTCACTCATGGTGTTGAAAGTACCATGGAATTTGGAAAATCGAATGGATAAAAGTATATATACATCGTAGAGTTTATCTTTGTGAATGTAGACAAACTGAAAGATTTGGAAAGATGCAGTTTGGAATGATAAGGTTTACTGAGTAATACAAAATTATTTACTTGAGGCAGGTTCATGAGAATTAAAACTACTTTTTCTCCCCCCTTCGAGAACACTTGTACCCATAGCTAAGATATGGAGGGCTTCCTAGGACTGAAGTAGAGCCAGTTTTGCTCCCCACCATCTTTTCCAAAAAGAAATGGCACAGGCTGGTGGTCCAGGGGTTAAGAATTCACCTTGCTATTCAGGGGACACCGGTTTGGTCCCTTGTCTGGGAAGATCCCACGTGGCGCGGGGCAATTAAGCCCATGGACCACAACTACTGAAGCCTGGTTGCCCCTAGAGCCCGTGCTCCGCAACAAGAGAAGCCACCACAATGAGAAGCTTGAGCACTGCAACAAAGACCCAGTGCAGCCAAAAATAATCTTTTTTTTTTTTTTTTAAGAAATGGCACAGAAATAGAAAAAGAAGATTCCTCCATAGAGCTGAGTTAATGTCATGACACCAGCTGCATCTCCCTTATTTGTATGGAATAGGGACTGTTGGCCCTGAACTCCCTCCACCATGAAGGGGACTGGGAGCAAGAAAGCCATCTCTGAAGTTTGAAATGAGGACCCGTTTCTCGCCTGGAGATGACAGTGATTCAGCAAAGCTCTAGCTGTGGCTGAAGCAATTAGGAGGATGGGGCAGTGTCTTTCCCTGTCCTCCTCCTGCCCAAGAATGCCTTGGTTCCAGCAAAGCTCAAGAAAACCTCAAAGGTGTTCAATGAGGGGAAATAGTCTCAGCAATCCCAGGAAAGTCACCTCAATGCAGGAAGGACATTGTGTCCTGGAAAAGGACACAATATGTGAGTGGCTGGAGGAGTGAAGAAGATGCTATGACACCCCACTTATAGGCAGAGCTCCCCATGACTGTGATCTAGAGCAGAAAACACAGCCTGGCTACAAGGCAATATCCAGCAACAGAACCCTCCCATGTGGAGCCCCATCTGGAGACCACCAGCCAGGAAAACCAGACCCCTCAAGCAGCAAAGAAACTGAACTGGCTGGTAAAAGGAAGAGGTTATTGAAGAAGGCAGATCTCTTTGCCTTTCACAGCTCCTGTAAGAGGAGAGAAAAGAGAAGGAAGAAAAGATCCATCTAACACCAGCCTTGAAAAAAGAAGTTACCTACACTTTTGCTCAATCATTCAATCACGTCCAACTCTTTGTGACCACATGAACTGCAGCACATCAGGCTTCCCTGTCCTTCACGACCTCCCGGAATTTGCCCAAACTCATGTCCATTGAGTCAATGATGCCAACTTACACTGGCTACTACTAAATTTAATCTGCTAACAAGAAAAGAGCCCTAAGTCTAGGATCTTGAACTGAATACAGATTGATAAAATAACCCATGAAGTGGATTTGGCTAAGTTTTTACACAGGAGACACTTTCAAAAGATTGTGGATAAAAAGTATACCAGTGGATAGTCAAAGATAGGAATAATCTTGGATTTTTTTCTACAGAGTACAAATGAGAACTTCTGAGGTAGAAAAACTATTGCATTGATGATAGTGGAAGTTTCATGTTCTCACATTTCTAAGTGATGATCAAATATGCTATAACAATTTTCATGATAAAGATATAAAAATACAGAAATAGTTTTCAACTTTGACAAGAGTATGCTAATAAAAAGATGTCAAATGGATAGAAACCAGCAGTCTCGGAGGAGGGCAAGGAAAATGCCAGTGACTGCAAGCCTGGCCAGCCCACTTTGGCCAGGACCGATCACCTGTGTTACCCTTCAGCCCTCTAAGGGGATGGGAGTGGCTACGCTCCTGAAAATGAGGGTCAAGTAGCTACAGAGAGACATCACAGAAGCCAACAAGGGCCCCAGGGCAGGCAGAGCCTGGGTGACGCTGCCATGCGCCCCCGGCTCCTGGGCTGTGTCCTGTTTTGTCTCCTGGGAGCAGGTGAGTCCCAGAACGCATGGGCAAGCCTTGGCCGTAGCGTGCCAGTTTTAGCTCATCCTTCTCTGAAGGTTGCAGCGCCAGGTGCCTCCTCAGCTTTCTCTTGCTCTATCTCCTTCCTCCACAGGCTCCCTGGAAGCCGATGTGACCCAGAGCCCAAGATACCGCATCACAGAGACCAAAAAGGGGGTGACATTGACTTGTTCTCAGAATATGAACCACGAAGCGATGTACTGGTATCGACAAGACCCGGGGCTGGGCCCAAGGCTGATCTACTTTTCAAGGAACATTGGGAATGTTCAAAAGGGAGATATCCCTGATGGATACACTGTCTCTCGAGAAGAGAAACCAAACTTCCCCCTGACCTTGGAGTCGGCCAGCACCAAACAGACCTCCTTGTACCTCTGTGCCAGCAGTAAGTCCACAGCGTGACACAGCCAGCTGCTCTCTGCACAAGAAGGGCAGCCACAACAGAGAGGAGGCTCCTCCCTTGGGAGGCCCCACCCAGCCAAGAAGACAAACTCCCCCACCATCAGAGACCCCAGCAGTCCTCCCCTGTCTCCCGAGCTTTGGGGAATCTGAGCAAGGCAGCCCCTTGACAGCGTGTCCCCTTCTTACTTCCGGTACCCATGAGCTTTTCAAAGTGCAGGCAGGACACGCTCCCTGTGTGAGGTCTAGAATTTCTCTCCTAGAAAAGGAATTTTATGCATACTGCAATCCTTCCTCCTCGCTGAGCTTCAGTGTAGCCCAAACTGAAGATTTCCTTTTCAGCCCAATCACTCAACCAAATTTCAATCCCACCTTCTAGGACCTAGGCCTGGAGGTTTTGACCCTTGGGGAGAATAGCACATCTGAGTTGTTAACTAAATCTAATATCTCTCCCATTTCCCTCATCTCTGCAAGTGGCCCGCCATCCAGCCAAACGCACAAGCCAGAGATGTAGGAGTCATCCTCACCATCTCAGACATACTCGCCCTCCATACTTAATCCACCACCATCACCTGCATGCTTCTCAGTATTAAATTCCTTGCAAATTTTACTAATTTTTCTAATCTCATTGATAACACTGTGATCTGATATGTGGTCTCCCACCACCTTCCACTCCTTGCCCCCACCCACAAACCACTCTGGAGCCTAAAACCCATCAGTGTCTTTCATTTATTTAAAGTTGCAAGTTTATGGTAGTTCACAAGCTTCTTAACACCCTCCAGGATGCAGCCTTTGCACCTGTCTTCCTTCTTAATTGGGCTTCCCAGGTGGCACTCGTGGTAAAGAACCCACCTGCCAATGCAGGAGACATAAGAGATGCAGGTTTGATCCTGGGGTTAGGAAGATTCCCTGGAGGAAGGCATGGCCACCCACTCCAGTATTTTTGCCTGGGGAATCCCATGGACAGAAGAGCCTGGTGGGCTACCGTTCATGGGGTCACAAGAGTTAGACATGACTGAGGGACTAAACCACCACCTTCCTAAGAGGAATGTCCTCTTTCAGTTACCACACCTGCTTTCCATTCAAGGAGACAGAGTCCACTTCCCACAGGTCCCCAAATATGTCCTACGCTGATTCACTCTTGGATCTTTACCAGTAATGTTCACTCTCCCAGAGCACTCTTCCTCTCCCTCTCTACCTCAACACCTAGCTGGCGATTTCACCACATACCAATCCAGAAGTCTTTTCCTCCAGGAAGATTTCCTCAAATCCCTGATGGGATTATTTCCTCTGCTATGTGATCTAGTGAAGTGAAGTCGTTCAGTCGTGTCTGACTCTTTGTGACCCCATGGACTGTAGCCTACTAGGCTCCTCTATGCATGGAATTTTCCAGGCAAGGGTACTGGAGTGGGTTGCCATTTCCTTCTCCAGAGGATCTTCCCAACCCAGGAATCGAACCCAGGTCTCCTGCATTGCAGGCAGACACTTTACTGTCTGAGCCACCAGGCTAGCGCTCTAAGGACAGCCCAAACTGTTGTTCTCGGGGCAATTAACACACTTCATTGTTTGCTATTTAAAATTTGCATGAATAAAGGCAAAGTCAATGAGAGCAGGAACTGTGCCTATACTGGTTACTCTTTTCCCTGTACTTACCAGAGTGTCTGAAAAGAGTCCTGTTATACACATAAAGGAATTGGTCTTCTTTTCTATCATCTTCCCAATACATCTCTGACTTGTCCAGGATCTAAGTCCCCTGCAAAGTCCTCTCCTACACCTACCTTGGGGAAATGCCAAGGGTTTCCACCTGGGTACGTAAACAAGATAAATCATGTCCTCTAGTAGTTTTATTCTTCCTCCATTGTAGCCCCCGTTTGCTCTGTGCTATATGTCACCTGACAAGGATGTTGCCTCTCTTGGGTACCACTGTATCCATTGGATTCTTTTATGTTGAGCCCTAAAATACCTGTCAGCCAAGCAGATGCTTCAGCTTTGCAGCTCAATACAGCAGACCTTATTATTGCTCCCAGTGGGATACATCATCATGCCCAGGTAGAGTTTCCTACCAAGAGGCACCGCTATCAATGAAATACAAGAGAAAGCCTTTGGCTAAAACTTTTCTTTATGGTGCTGAAGGGGCAAGACTACAGATCTGTGTCTTGATCTCCAACGTCTAACTGAGATTTTAGCACAAAGTTTCATTCAATTACATACATTCCAACCATTAAAATAATAATTTTAACTTGAAGCAAGGGAAGGCATAGGACCTCATCCAAGACACAAATTCAGGCAATAAACCCAGCTAAGCTTAGAATCTGCTCATCTTTTTAAGAACTATGGCTGTAACACTGGGTAGGTTTATCCTGCCAGGCTCTATGCCTACCCTTGCTTCAAGGTGAGTTCTCTCCTGGGAATATTACACGCCGTCATACACAGAGACTTCCAGGGGACCATTCTCTCCTTTTTGCAAGACTTACCCAGGTATTTCTGAACTACAACATTTGTTGCTCTTTAGGTCCAAGCTGAATTACACCTTTTATTATGGCTGTGCTGTGTTCAGTCATGTCTGTAGTCCACCAGGCAAGAATACTGGAGTGGCTTGCCATGTCCTTCTCCAGGGGCTCTTCCCCACCCAGGGATTGAACCCCCACATCTCCTGCATTGGAGGGGTGTTCTTTACCACAGGCTAATTCTTTACCACTGGTGTCACCTGGGAAGCCCCACTTTTATTATATTCTCAATATAAATAGAATTATACCAGTTAAATCAAAGATGTCAGTGGAGACTGACACCCAAAGACTGCTTGCTGTGAAATAGAGTCTATATCCAATAACTTATTCTTAGTTCCTGGAAGTCATCACACGTTAACCCCATCTCATGAGAGACTCTGAGACAATGAGGTCAGCAGACCCCTTTGCACTTATATAGAGTCCACAAACCCAGTGCCCTCCATTGTATCAGAGCCTGGAGCTGGCATACCATTACTCTTGATGTAGACCTGCCCTAAGGCACCAGTTTTCTCTTTGTTCCTAGGACCAGGAGAGTTCTGATTTAAACTGTTCCTTAAAGGAATTCAATCTTGATCTTTCCTATGGAATCTTTTCCTGTTGCCTAACTTCTACCTCGAATAATTGCTCACATGCTAAAGAAATATCTACAAAACCGGTGGACTTTTAGAGCTAAAACATGCTATGGCCTAGAAGTTTACGTTTCCCCCTCTACCCTGAATTTATGTTGAATTCTAGTTGCATATGTGATGGTTTTGGGGGTGGGGCCTTTGGGAGATGACTACTGTGTGCTTAGGCACTCAGTCGTGTCCGACTCTTTGTGACCCCATGGACTGCAGCCTGCCAGGCTCCTCTGTCCATGGAGATTCTCCAGGAAAGAATACTGGAGTGGGTTGCCATGCCCTCCTCAGCGGATCTTCCAAACCCAGGGATCGAGCCCAGGTCTCCTGCATTGCAGGTGGATTCCTCAATGACTGAGCCATCAGGGAAGGGCAGGGAGATGATTAGGTCAAAAGAATGGAGCCCTCGTGGGTGGAATTAACGCCCTTATGAAAGAAACCCCAGTGAGCTCCCTAGCCCACCCCCTAACTAAGTGAGGTTACAAGAAAAGACCACCCACCAATAACGCAAGCACCCTGATCTCAGACTTCCAACCTCCAGAACTGTGGGTAATAATTTCTGTTGTTTATAAGCTACCCAGTCTGAAGTTTTGTTAAAGCAGCCAGACTAAGGCAGAATACTACTCATGATTTGTTTTCTTAATTTTTGGTTCACTCACCGTCAATGTCCTTGGTAGACTACTATTTCTGTATTCTTCCATTAAATCGATTTGTTCCAATATTCCATTTTTTTTCTCTCTTGTCATTACTTTATGAACTTTCTCGGAACAACATCATTCAAGTTCATCACTTTAATAAACAACTATCAAATTCAGTATTCTAGCCAGTTACCTAATTTGAGCTTCAGCCCAACTTATGCAACTTTCTACATGGTGATGTCACTTGAAATCTCCACTGGTACTTCAGACTCAATTCACCATGTTCTACAAACTTAATCTTTTTGCCAGTCTTGCTGAAAACTAATTCATTCAGTCTTGAGTAATCAAGGAGTTTTGAAGGGCAGTCAGAGTGCACAATTTTGTAGCAATCCTTAAAAACTGGTTCCTGCATATAATTGAGTTTTGATAAGATTCATTTTCTAGAAGAAAACAAAATGTAATTAAAAGTAAATATACTCTAATTGCAAGCAAAAATAAAAAAGAGGAGTATACACATACATAGAATGACCCACAATTATTAATACATGGACACACACACACAGACACACACACATACATGAAATGTTAGATTTTCCCTAGCCATCCAGAATCCAAGTCTCTCTACTTTCAGACGGAGAAGCCACAACTTCCCAGTTTCTTTCTTTGGGACTGACGACATGTTCCTCAAGTATAAGAGGTAGACATGAGATATGTTCTTAGAGACATATGTACAAAAAGTGAAAAGAAATGTATAAGAATAAAAGATGAAAGTATGAAGCAGAAAGCATATGGCAGACCTGAGTTAAGCTAGGGGAGGGCTTCCTTGGTGGCTTGGTGTTAAAGAATCAGCCTGCTAATGCAGAAGATGCAGGTTTGATCCCTGGGCCAGGAAGATCACCTAGAGAAGGATATGGCAACCCACGCCAGTATTCTTGCCTGGAAAATCCCATGGACAGGGGAGCCTGGGCAGACAACAGCCCATTCAGTCACAAAGAGCTGGATATAACTTAGTGACTCAATGACAATGCTGAAACTAGGAGAACAAAGGCATCTCAATGTTTAGACTAAATAAAGGACACTTACAAAGACCACACAATGATTATGCAGCAAAATAGATGGCAGAACGGTGATGTAGATCTGAAGAAAGAATTAAAGAGAAAAGAGATGTGGATTTTACAGTGATTTCCTTTCTTCCGCATCACACTCCTCAATAACAATTGACCT